ATACCCTCCTGTGTGTCTCTGAGGGAAACACACACACACACACACACACACACACACACACACGGGGAGCGCCAGCTGTTGAGAGAACAGAACATCCAAAACAACTGGGTCACTCAGAGCAACAAACAGAATTACATTTAGAGGAACAGTGACGTCTTCTCCCTCAGTCTCATTGTGGTGTGTGTGTGTGTGTGTGTGTGTGTGTGTGTGTTCATCCACGTTTAAAACTGTTTAGTGACGCGGTGCTGGAGGAAACTTCATATCTTCTGTTTCTATTGGACTCTGGTGTTTTCTTCAGTTTTTAAATGTTTTCTCCAAACTTTGTTGCTGATTTAATTTCCAAATTATACACTTTAAGGTTTTCCTTCAGGAACTTACTTTGCGTAATCTCCAGTTTTACCTGTTCTCATGCGTTTCCCTCTTTGGATGCTAAGCTAGCAGGTAACAATCACAGATTTAGCTGCATGATAAATTGTCTGAATAGTTATTTTGATAAATGATATTATTGCTGTTTTGAGACCATTTTAAAGTAATGTATTTATAACAGCATAATAATGCTCTCTGCACTCCAACACTGGATTCAAAATTCAGATTCAATTCAAAAATATTTGATCAACCCTTAAGGGAAATTAAATGTTGTGAAGATGGAAGAAGGGTTACTGTTTTCATTATATATCAGAAGAAGGCCCTTTAAAGAACACAAGTACAGATGTTTTAGTTGTTTGTTTATTAAAGTATTTTACTGGAGGATTTACTGCCTGTTTCTAAACAACTGAATATAAAATATGACAAGTTTGAGATGAGAACTGTGAAATTTACTGTTGAGTCGTCTCCCTCCACAAACTCCACCCAGTGTTTCAGGGTAAATGAAAACGTAAGTGGTTCTTCACAAATTTCTACCATGGTGAGTTTCCCCATGATTCCTGTCATGGATAAATCCCAGATGTTGGTTTTAAACATGACCTTCACGATGTGTGTCCACCTGTTGGTAGTGAGCATCTGTCTCTGCTGGATCTATACAGATGAGAACCCAAAAGCTGAAAAAAGAAACTAAGAACTGTATAAACTGTATAAATGCAAAACTTTTGGCGTCTTTCTGTGGGATGGAGCAGATTAATGGCAGCTTTGATGACCTGAAGCCCAGAGATTTGAGCCTGTGACAGGATTACCCCCCACCATCTTATCTCCCTTTCCTTTCCTCTCCTGTCTCATCGTGATTGGCTTCTCAGGACTGGAGCTGCCGTCCGATTGGCTGGAACAACAACACCCACGTTTCCGTAGTGATTAGTCTGACCTGCTGTTTGGGCCCTTAATTGGATTATTGGTGGAGTTTTTTTAGTTCTTGTTCTACTTGTGAACTGGTGGTGATTTTATCAGCTTACATGACATAAATCAATCAGTTCAGGTTTGATTTGAAGAGTTTCTGCTTGTTTTTGTGTCCAGGAGGTTTAATATTCTGGATTTTTTAATAAATTTATTCGGATTTTATTTTTCTAAAGGGAAAAACTTCTCAACTCAAACCAGCAGAGTTATATCTGTGCAGATATAAAGATGCCTGATGAGGTCAGAGAATGGAGGAAATGTATAAAAACAGGATTAGGAATGATAATAATGTTCTGTAAAAGATTATTACAAAAATTACTGTGTAGTTAGGAAATAATGTACTGCCATGAAGGGATGTTCCAGTAGTAGGATGTTTTGTGCGTTCATTATACAAAAAAAACAACAACAAAAAACATGCAGCAGCACCATGAATGTTATTTAAAATAAAGCTTTGTAAATATCGGCACTTATTGAGTTCGTTGGAAGCAGTGATGTCTGTAGAGCCCAACTCCTGCTGGGAGGAAGGATCTGTGGTGATGCTGCTTTGTGCGCTGCGGACGCAGCAGGCTGAGCTCTGTGGCTCAGGACCTGCTTCACCATCAGTCCTTCTGTCTCCCATCAGCTGCAGGGCAGGAAGAACCAGAGGAACCTGGACTGGGTTGAGGTTTTAGGTAGTCGCTCCAGTGGAGGAAACGAGAGTTTTGGTTGATCCTGGAATGTGGGAATGGATGAATCTTAATCTGATTAGATGAATCCTCCCCTCTGCTCTCTGCAGACGTTTCCGTTACCAGGTGGGCGGGGCTTCTGGGAATGAGAGTGATGGTTTGGGAAGCTTTGGGTCCATCAGGATGTTTCTGCACCACCTGCAAAAACGCAAAGTATTACCAAGTATTTCAGTCTGGTTTCTAGTGCCAGACCCTTAGTCCATGTGAAATGAGACAAAACTAACCGAGATGGAGCTTTTCAGCCTGTAGGAGCTCGTTTTAAGTTAATTCCTTAATGTTGATGAAAAGTTCCACAGGTTACTTCGTGTATAACGAGACGTTTCTCCTGTTAACAAACATCAGATCTACCAGGATGTAAAGGCTCTGCTGCTGTTGGTACCAGACACCACAGCTGTCCCTGCCTCGGTCCGGGCGCTTAGAGCAGCAGGTGGTCATAATGTTTTGCCTGATCGGCGGGTGACAGATCTGTTTGTGTCCCCAGAGGGCGGCTGCTGGTCGGGACGTTCGTCGCTCTGTTCTTCAACCTGCTGACTCTGCTCTCCGTCAGGAACAAACCCTTCTCCTACGTCTCTGACGGTAAGCCCCGCCCCCTGCTCCGGTTCCGGCCCGGTTCTGTAATCCCGCCTCCTCTGGGGACCAGAATGATTTAGCCTTTGTGATATTTTGGGGGGATTATGGGAGTGAGGCGGCGCCTTTCCTCTGTCAGTGAATAAATCGGATGAAACCAAATGAAACGCAGCAGCTGATTGGTTGTCAGTATTTTCCAGGATTATGCTGACAGCTGATTGGTTGTCAGTGTTTTCCAGAGAATCATGCTGACAGCTGATTGGTTGTCAGTGTTTTCCACAGGAAGCTGACGTCTGGTGGCGCTCTGAAATGCTTTTGGTGGTTTAACAGACATGAACGTTGAGCCAAAGTTCTCATGAATTTGTTGCATAAAACAGGATAAAAATAAAATCAGTTCAGTAATTATTCAGTAAGTTGATAAAAAGTTTTCCCTCATCAGTCGTTTGGTTGCCCTCCTCTTGGAAAGATGCTCAGGAAATGTTGGGAATCTCCATGGCAACCACAGACTCGGCATCCTCCTGCTCCTTAAATGACTCTCAGCCTGTTCTGTTGTTCCTTCGCTGCTCCTCTTCCTCTGTTTTAATTTCCTCCTGTCCTCATTCGTCCTCCTGTTCCTTCCTCTCCAGTTCACTTCATTCCTTCACTTTCCTCCCTCCTTTCTTTCCTGTCCTCTTTTGTTCTCCTCCACTCTTGCTTCCTCCTGACTTCTTCTTTCCGTCTCATCCTCTTTTCCTGTCTCTGCTTCTTCTCTTGTTTTTTCTCCTTCATTTTAACATTATTTTCTCCTCTCATTCTCTCCATTTTCACCTCTTTTCTTTTTTCTCCTTTTCTTTTCTCTCCTTCCTCATTCATCCTATCCACGTTTTTTTGTTTCCTCTTTTAGTTCCTCTGTTCTTCTTCTCCTTTCCGTCTTCTTTGCCGTTTTAAGTTCTTCCTGTTCTTCTCTTCCTCCTCTCCGTTTTGCACCTCTTCCTCCTTCCCCCAGTAGTTTTCCTCTTTTGTTTTTCCTCCTCTTCTCTCTGACTGACTCACAGTTTGTCCACTGATGCATGAGCTCAGTGTGTGTGTGTGTGTGTGTGTTTCAGCTTTTGGTTGTTGTGTTTGGAGCAGTCTCAACATCACTTAACATCTGACATTTTTCAAAGGAGGGGGCCACACACACACACACACGCGCGCGCGCGCTGGCGGTGTGTTATGCAACGCTGCTCCGTCAGCCGTGCTGCTCCTCGCATCGCGACGCGCTGAAACACTCGGACGTCCTCCTGCAGCTCACGGATCATAAATAAGTGACTCCATTAAAATGTTTGTTTAGACTGACTCAGCCTGCTGGCAAAACAAACACACACACTTTAACACACACAGTTCAGCGCACACACACCCAGAGCTGCGCGGGACGTGAGGGACCTCTGACCTCCGCTGGGAGCCGGTGGCCCCCGGCGGACGGTAAAGGTGGACGCAGCAGCCGAGCCGCTTCGCTTCTCTGTGCTTAGTGGGGATATTTTTATCCTGGTGGTGACGGAGGCGCGGCTCGCCGCTGCTCAGGTCCAGAAATAGAACGGGTCTGGGGCGGAGCGGAGGAGGTGAAGGGTCTCTGAACCCGGCGGAGGCAGCTGACGGAGGAACCAGCTGGCTCTGAATGTTTCCTGCAGCGCTGAGCAGAAACATGTTCTCCATCTGCAGCTGCAGCGACCCGGCTCGGCGCTCAGACCCGGAAAAAAAAATCTGTTCTCATAAGAATGGCAGTAAATGTTAGGATTTTGTACTTTACTCTTAAAGAACCAAATAAACAGAATCTTTGTTAAAGCTGTCAGTCTCCTAAAATGAGAGCAGATGATATTGCAGACAGTGAGGTCAGTCGGATCCTCTGCAGATCAAACGGTTCTGGTCGGGACGGCCGCCATCCCCAGGCGCAGCAGGAAAACTTTAACTCATGTTATCCAGGTTTTATTCACGTTTCCAGCACTTTTTCTTAAATTTAGCTCCATTTTTACTTCATTTTAGTTCCTGCTGAAGATTTTTAACGAATCAAATGAAAGGATTTATCACTGTAGTGTCTAAATTGGATCTTTATTACAAGCAGTTGGACACAAAAACAGATTTTACCAAAGTTTTTTAGTGAGTCCTTTAACAAAGTTTAGCTGGATCCGGGGCAGATTTCCAGTTTCTGCTCTTCCTCATGTGGGGTCCCTCAGGGCTCGGTTTTGGAGCCACTCATATTCCTTCATTTTCTGCCTCTAGTTTCCATCCTGAGAAGAACCCGCCTCTGCTGACAGTTGAAAATGAAGCGGTTCAGGTGTTACTTTGTTCTGGTTCTGTTTCACTGACTCTGGATCCGTGTGTCTCCCTCCAGCCGCCAGCAGCAGCTGGCTCCAGGAACACGTGGCCGACCTGAGCCGCAGGTAAGAGCATCGACGGCGCCCCCTTCCTGTCTGTCCATCCTGACTCACACACACCAGCAGCAAAGCAGTAAAGTGTGTGTGTGTGGAGATTCATTAGGTCTAATATCTGAGGTCAGAGGTCACCAGCAGATCAGATCAGAAACAGCTGGACGATCATTTCTCTTCTTTCCTGAACTTTGCTCTGAACAGTAAAGCTACCAGAACCTGTTGAAGCCGTTTGTCAGTAACAGGAAGCAGGAGAGTCAGACTCTTTGAAACCAGTTTAAAGTTTTTATTTAAAAACCTCCAGGCCTTCGGATCGCGGTGACCAGTCAGGGTCAGCCAGAGGGATCTCTAGGTGACACTTCAGCTTCACCTCAGCGTCTGCAGGCTGAGTTCATCAGACCAGCTGCTTCTGATGTGCTTTCATAAAACTCATATTAGAGCTGCTGTGGAGTCCAGTCAGCAACACATTTACAGTTTATGCAATGCAACAGTTATGTTTCCACCATGCAACCAGGGAAATATTAGGCCACTTTATGGACCTTAAAGCATTTAAAGATGAAGGTCAAGTTAAATCAGCTGACACCAGGATCCCAATAATGGATAACAAGTTTCCTGCAGCTCGTCTTCATAATCTGTGCAGCCTCCCCTCGTCTCAGTCAGGTTGTTTACAGTTTCTAGAAATCCTTCATAAAGACAAACTGAAGTAAAGAGAAACAGTTTTTCCAATTGTTCTGAAAAACGTTTTGATGTCATTAAATGATCAGAAACAGGAAGATGGAGTTTCCATCTGGACCTCGGCTGGTCTCTGTCCTGAAGAAACTCCTGATTGTTGTAGAAAATGTGTTGAACCAGCTTCATGACAGCAGTTTAGTGTTTTAAAGTATAAACCAGGATAAAAGGAAAACATGAGGACTGATTTTAACTTTTGAAAGAAGTTAATTTTACTCTGTAGACGCGACTGAAGGAGCCGGAGAAACGTGTTGAATGTTTGTGTTGCTCCAGGCTGGGTGTGAAACTGAGAGCAAACGGCTGAATGTCCGTCTCTCTGTCACCTGATACGTGTCGCTAAAAGCTGATATTTTACCTCAGAATGTTTTGGATTTTAAATTCTGTTGATGGAGAGACTTTTGCATAAAAATCATTTGTGTTTCCTGCTAATTTATTGTCCAGTCAGAGGAAAAACTGCTTCTGAAGCCAGATTTCTGCTCAGCCAGTGAAACCAGGAAACGTTTTAACCTTAATGTGTGAAGGTAACAAGGAGCCTCATCCTGGAGCTGATAAAAGATGTTCCAGAAAAACCCGTGTGCACGCCGCTTACGGAGGTGGCGCTGCGAGGAGTTTCCCTTCGGTCCAGGAAACGCCTGGAGAAGGCGTGTTGGTTTTGCTCCAGAGCCGGTTGCATCGCTGCATCATGCAGGCTAACAGAGGTTCTGTCTGCAGACGGTTCCTGACGCAGCGCCACCTCTCCATGCTGACTCATCAGCTTATTTATCTGGTTTAAACCTGCAGCCACAGAAACACGGCAGCCATTAGATCACATGTCTTCCATCACTTCCAGTTTCAGACTCTGGTCTCGTTTAATGAATCGACCTTCACAGCTGATTAGACCCAAACATTCAGCATTTCTGTCTAAATCTGGACTGTCCCACTGACCCGTAGTCCAGATCCTCACGCTGTGATGATGATTACAGCCCACAGCTCATCCCCACATCTGATGTATATAATGGACACACACACAGAGGGTCAGCAGCTCATTTGGTGCAGGTTACTCGGGGCGACAGCCTGCAGAGCTGTGCAACAGAGCTGAGCTCTGATTGGCTGAGAGGGCAGAAGTGAACAGGACGTCCCAGCCTAGTTTCCACTCTTTAAATGTGTGTGTGGAGGATACACAGTGTTCCTGCTCGCCTTTGTGTGTGAGCATTTTCTGGGTACTAGTGTGTGTGTGTGTGTGTGTGTGTGAGTGTGTGTGTGTGTGTGTGTGTGTGTACAGAAAGGCTTTTCTCTGTGTGTTGCAGTGAGATGTCCCCATTCAACCCGAACACAGTCTGGGGGCCAACTGGGTTACGTAAAGCCTGCTGCTCTGTTGGCCTCACCAGCCACAAGCCTGAAATCTCTCTGCTCTGCTCTGTGCGTGCACGTGGGCGTGCACGTGGAAGTTGCTGTTGGGGAGGACAGACATCCAATTTTAAAAAAAGGAAACAAACGTTTTCTCTGGCAGGAATAGAAATAACATCACAGTGTCTGACAGTTCCTGCTAACAGAGTGGATTAAATTTAGAACTGATTAATTATTTCTCTGTAGCAGAAATATGAAATCACTTTCAACAATAAGAAAACACAAGATAATAAAATCCAAACTAGAGCTGCAGACCTGTTGGCTGAATCGAACCTGGTCCTTCATGTCCAGCCAGTCGTCCAGGTTCCCTAAGATGCTAGCCTAGCATCAGGTTAGCATGGGGATGCTACGGCTAACACGCTCAGGAAGCTTCAGTTCAACAATTTCATGATGGAACTGACTGAGTTAGAAAACCCAGTCCTGTCTGGACCTGCAGGTCAGCCGGGCCTCACAGCTGAAGCCTGAACAAGTCAGAGGAAGTTGGACTCTGATGCTTTAGCAGCACGGCGCGAGATGTAGCGGTTTGGTAGCTACGACCTTTCACCACTCCATGTTTTCACCATGTTTTCACCACTCCATGTTTTCACCACTCCATGTTTTCACCATGTTTTCACCACTCCATGTTTTCACCACTTAGTTTCTTAGGTTCTCCCACTGAACTCAGTTTCATACTTTTGGAAAAATCAGGAACTGTTTAGACTTGAATTAGTTTAACTTTGATTTACCCTCATTATATTTCTAGACTTCTGAAAATCACAGGTAAATATCTGGAATCACCGTAGCAACCACCGACTCAGCACTCTGGTCCTTGCATGACTCAGCAGATTCTTCTTTCACTTGTGGATCCTTCATAAAGCTGCTGGGTTTCTATTTAAAGCTCTGAACTCTGACTTCCTGTTGGATTTGAAACTCCAGCAGCTTTTGTAGTCAGAATAATCGTCCAGGTTCGTAAATCCTCGACATTCCGGATGTTCCTGGCTCAGGAGAAACATTCAGTCGGATTTCTTGGCTGCACATAGAATCTGTTTGAGCCCCACATTAGTTGTGTTTACACCTGTTGGAGCTGAACCACTTTAACACGACGGACTAAAGAAGCTTATGTGTAATAAAGATCCTAGAATAAAGTCCAGCGGAGGCTCCAGCCTGCAGATCAGTCTCTGCGTAGACCAATCAGAGTAATTCTTACTGACTTTACTCTCCTTCGTTATGATGTCAGAACTCGTCAAACTGAATCAGCTTTGACGCTTTTGATTAGTTGCTGTGGAAACAGTGGACGGGATTATGAAGTGTTTGCCTTGGTTTTAATCCAGAGTCCGCCGCGCACACACACACACACACACACACACACACACACACACACACACACACACACACACACACACACA